TATCCGATTTTTGCAAGAATTTCCAGACCTGTACAAATTTATGGTCCCACGTTTACGCAAAACCAAACAAGATTTTTAAGCAAAATTTCCTAAGGTTCTTAAAAGGATAAAAAGTAATCATTTTTTACATTAAAAAAAAAAAATATTTGATTTTCCTCTTAACACAAAGAAAAAAATTTTGTTGTTATTATGTTTGGGTCATTTTTTATAATGTATCCTTTATTTTCGCAATATTTTGGATTGTGTGTGCCATTTGATTTTCGTACGATATGTCGGAATTCTGTTATTTGAGAAGCCTCAGTATGGATTCGGGCGGTAGAAATCGTGACTATTCTGGCGTTATTTAATATATTTATATAATTGTTATGGGTCCATAGACATGCACAGGCCTCAAGGCAATTGATTCTGGTCCTTCCCTTCTTTCAATTGGCCTGCTCGTGTCGATCGAAATGTCTACACTATAGTAATAGTAAAACCAGGCTTGTTAGCCATTACCCCAGTTTAATTACTTGAATCGCGAAGCCAAAAACTTATACTAGAAACATAATATCTAAAAATGTGATATCTTAACGATAGAAGCTGATGTGCCAACAAACCAGAGACGGTAATACACTCAACTGGATCCGCCTCCCTCCGTAGAACTAAAAGACTCAGTCGGGTGCGTGACCTAATAGGTAAGTAGATAGTGTAGCTTAAGCTGGTGCAACAAGTTGGGAAAAGTGGAATTCCCACGGATGTTGACAACTATGATTATTCATTATCTCATGCAGTTCTCTATCTGCCTCTCTTTGGCTTTTATATTCATGAAATCTTTCTTATCTCTTTCATTGACCTTCCTTAATGCTTATCTAGAATCAGACAATTTCGATGTCATATAATATATTTATATAATTTCTATGGGTTCTTAGACATATCCATGCCTCCAGACAACTTTCTCCATTCTCGCCTTCTCTCGATCTGTCTACTAGCCAGGCTTGTTAATCATTACCACACAATATGACGCTGTCTCAAGTTGAACGAATACAGTCACTGTTTTTTGCATTGTTTAATTGTTTGAACTGCAAAAAGTAAACGTTATCTAAAAAGCTTATATATATATATATATATATATATATATATATATATATATATATATATATATATATATATATAAAACCTAGTGGAAAAGCCAGACAAACCTACAGGTTTCACCTAAGCAGATCGTCAGGGACGGCTTAGGTGATCCTGGCAGGCTCTTGTCTAACTAACAAATTATCTCAATCTAAAAGTACGGTTGTACTGAGCTCTTTTTAGTTAATTGTTTACTCGTGTCCGGGTTTTTTTTCTTTGGGCTTCAAACCTGTATCTGTACGATTTTTTCGGCAGAAGTTCATGTTTCTGGGCTCTTTCTTTTTTAAAACCTTTTTTTCCTTCGTGATTGATTTGATTATTAGCAAATCAAGAATTCGAAGGAATTTTCGAAACAGTAATATAGTTACCTATATATATATATATATATATATATATATATATATATATATATATATATATATATATATATATATACTCTCGAGTCTTTCGTCGATTCGACGTATGAGGAACAAGCAGATCAGTCCTAGGAACCGACAGCCCGACAACAGCACTTGAAATTTGATTATAGAGATGAAGGTTTTGTGCAGAACCAACTACACTTTTTGAAGGGCCGAATACAGAGACTGGAATTCGATCTCGGTTTTTCAAATTCCTCAATCCAAGTCATTAACCATTACTCCACTGTACCTCCATATATATATATATATATATATATATATATATATATATATATATATATATATATATATAAATATCATATAAATGATATTTTAATGATAGAAGCTGATAGAAACAATAAGAGATAGTAATACATTGAATAGATCCGCCTTCCTTATAGAAAAAAGATCTAGCAGGATTGCGTATACGGAACGTAATCGGTAAGGAGATAGTGTAGCTGTGACAGTGTAGTTATAACAGTAAGAACCGCTCATGTTTTTCATGCAATACTAGAAAAGGTATACCTAAAATATATGAATTCAAACATCAATGGTACGTGAAAACTGCAGGTGCTTTCTTGTGATTAAAAAAAAAATTGTATTAACCATCGAACGGTACATCAAACTACATCCTAACTGAACGCTAGTACCGCTCAATCCATCCGTCAACACATTCAAGAGTGTACACTGCATTCCATGGTGTTTTCATTTTGTCTGCCAACAAGGTTATTTTATTGACACTCTGATAAGGATATTCTGACCCAGGCAGAAAATATTGCCATTGGACCGTGGAAAACTGGTACCGTATCGCGTGATCAGCCGAATCACGTTTCTCGCTCTTTCAGACAGTCACTCATGTGACTGTCTGAAAGATGAAGAGGTAGGTGAGGGAGGAGTTGAACAGTCTAATCGGCGTCTTCCCTTTCGCGTCGTTGTCCGTGGGTCCTCGCCGTCTCTGTTTATTTCGCAGATAGTGACCACTGTCTTATATAGAACATTGTTCTTTGTCTTGTCATCTTTGTCTAGAGAAGTAATTTATCTTCAGTAAATGACCTTCTTTGTCGGTGTCGCTTGCCATGGTACTTGTGAAGTCCACATCACCAGAAAAATAATTGTCTGAACAATTTTTTTGTGACAGGTCAGATATTTTTCATTTAAGATATCGACTGACACTGATATAGCTACATCCGCCTTTACGATTATTGAGTGACTTTATGTCCGCCATGTTTTATAGTGGTATGATTTGTTCACACAAAATAACGCAGCCTTTCATCATGCGGGGATGAGATGAAAATCTTTCCTGGGACCCCATGTTTGATTTCAGATAACCCACTTTTACCGTGCTCGCTAGATTAAAATCCCATTATGTATTTATGTGATATGTTGCAGGCTACACTAATTTCACTGCAATCAAACCTAAAATCACAGTTATGAATAGAGAGTGCCTGGAGAGACATCCTTGTGCAACGACTCGATGCTACGCTGTGTAACCGCCGTTATTCAGACTAAAGAGTTACATATTATTAGTTAGTTCTCTAATTTTTGGGCACTTCTGGTGGAATAATATGCGAGTGAAAGTGTTAAAAAGTTGTATATGCATGATGATATTTGTGTATTTAATTCATAATATGCGTAAGTTTACGTGTGTGTGTCCATTTATTTGTATACTCAATTTAGCTTAGTCTAGCTGAAGGCCACACTTTTACGTTGAGAATGAAAGAAGCTGTTGCGCCAGAACATTTGAAATCCCGACTTTTACCAAGACTTGAACACCAACCACTGCAGACATTGAGAAATATGCAAGTATTTCAATTATCGAGTAAGCTCATTTAATCATTTATATGTATGGGCGATTGCATTTATTTCAGTGCATTCAGCCATTTTATTCAATTGGATAATATTCGAACCACAAATTTGATCTTTTCTTGAGCATAACGTAACATACAATCACGCATGCGTACGCATTTGACTGTTACTCTTTCTCCTGAAATGGCTTGGTATTATATTTAAGCTTTGTGATTATGGCCTCATTTGTTTTCACATTTCCTTTATTTTATTTTATTGGTTGTTATTTATTCTTAAGCAATGCGAGTCGCTTACAAGTGTTCTGTTCAGACGGTTTTATGAAAACAAGACAAAACAAAATAACGCTCAAAATAATAATAATAAAAAGACAACATAAGCATAATAAGAGACAAAACAAAAACAATCAAACAAAAAACAAAACGAAAACGAGGCTGTTGTGTTAGTTTAAGTCATAGAATATTCTGTACCCTATTTCTAGAGTTCAACCTTTGTTCAAATTCTAAGTTTTATGGATACATTTCCGTTGATGTGGTTACCAAACGCAGATATGCCTTATTTCTTTAGTCGACCATTTGATTTTAGAAGCATTCAGATTTACGTTTTCAAGCGGTACATCGGACTTTAAAAAAAAAAAAAGAAGCAAATTGTAAATATGAAATAATTATCATGAACTCCGTAATCCATTAAGGGCGTAGATACACATTTTGTACTGCAGCCATGGATGTGGTTAGACTGTGATAATCTGACAGATCTCATCCCCCTTCTGGCGGCTTTTGAATTCAGAATTGTTGTTTTCTTAGTCTGATTGCCACCTCAAGGCAAGAAAGACCTTCTGCTCTGCCATTTTACCATTACTGGGTGGGAGGAAGAAACGGATTCAGTCCCTATGTTCAATTTGAACATGTTTCTCTACCTTTCTGTCTGACGTTCATTGAATCTTCATTTTCAACTAGCATGCCCATCTCTCCTTGCCGTTCTTTTGTTTCTGTTATTTCCCCCTCTTTCTAGTTATTCTTCCATTCACATTTTTTCGATAGCCTCTTTTGCGTCTCCCTCACTTTTTCAAATTCCTTCCTAATTAATATTATTATGTAGTGTTCACGATGTGAAATAGTAATCGGTTCGGGTTCAAAAGAGCTAGGAATCGGACAGATTTTACATTCTGATCCACCTTTCCACAGTAACAGGAAGGTACTAGTTCGTTTTGACGTGGGGTGCCGTACATACAGGCCAAGGACTGAAATCCTTAGTACGAAACATTCCTCATAAATTTAAGAGGAAGATAGAACAGATACTATCTATGGTATTTACTCGTCCCCTCCACAGTGACGAGATATGACACAAAGCTGATTTAAAGTAGGGAGCCCAAGCGTGTGTACCTGGGCTGAGGCCCAAAATGGCTCCGTCTCTGCAACCAACGACCCGCTGGTATTGTTATTCCACCGACCCACTTCTCTTTGGTGCATTGATGTAGGTGCTGTCGTAAGATTGAAATCCCTTGGGCAAGGTGCCCCTTATTTATTTGTTGTTTATTGTCTGAAGACAGAAGCAATTGAGAGATAGAATGTAGTTTGTCTGCCCAAAGGCAGATGTTACACTTTGATCCCAATGACGTTATGCGACAGGAAGGCGTTTTTAATTGGATTAACAATTCTATTAATCCATTACATCATCAGAACATTCAAGCTTACAACACCTGGCATTCCCAAGCAGTCAGCCATCTAGGTCCTGGCCAGGCCCGACGCTGCTTAACTTCGGTGATCGTACAGTAACTGGAGTTTCCACGTGATGTCTCCATAAGTGTTTTTTTTTAATTTGAGCTGCCTATACACGTAAATAGAGATCAAATACAATAACTGCCCAGTCTCCGCTACCATTGGCACGCTGGCGTCGGTATCAAACAATCCCTCCTTCGTTTAGGGTGGGAATCCCCGAGGTTCTCTGTGAATTGTCCGAAGACAGAAATACATCAGAAAAGTGAAGAACTGATACTACACACTGATCCCAGCTTGATCCTGGGTAGAAAACAGTATCGATCGTACATGCAAACAAATGAGCAGAATCATTGTACAAATTGCTGTTTATAGATTTCCTTTTCAATATGGAGCATCAGGAAGATTATCGCCTACCTTTATATAATCCTTAATAAGAATTAATCGCCTTATAATTCTTCAGGGGAAATACAATGCTTGTCACAATCTTAAAAGTATCTTATTTAAAACTTAACATTCGAAATTCTGTCTTTACACCGTTTGTTAACTTTTGGATTTTGCCACTCCGATGTAATTAGCCCTCCCCCACCCCCCGTCCCCATGCTTATTGATTTTCGACTTTTTTTTATGGATATTTATTTATATTGTAATGTTGTCAAGATTTCGTGGAAATGTTTTCGATGTTGCTAAAGAATTTTACTTAAAGACATTGATGGACATTTATTTTTAGTTTTATTTCCTTGCTATTGGGGTCTTGCTAAATCCCCTTGGGAAAGGTATGAATCCTCTTCTTCTCCCCACCCCAGCTATGGGTAAATAGTAGAAGAGACTGGGTTCTATAGCCTTGGATGGCAACTAGTTTACCACAGAAAGAAATGGTAACCTACTGAGGAATCGGAGAGCTGAGTTCGAATTCCAGTCGAATCCATTACATTCAATTACGTGCAAATACCCTTAGGAAAGGTATGTATCCTTTTCTCGCCCCAGTTATGGGTAAATAGCAGGAGAGACCGGGTTCTATAGCCTCGGATGGCAACTGGTCTACGGCAGAAAGAAACGGCAACCTACTGCGGGAAAAATCTGCCTCGTCAGTCATGTATCGAGAGATACATGATCGTCTAAGTGTGTATTATGCATGTCACATAACTGACTGACTGATTGGGGTTTTGCTAAAGATTTGTTTTTAAATCATTTCCCAATCACCCCATTTGTTGACCCCCCCCACCCTGTTTATTAGATTCGTATTTCTTAGTATTTTATTAGGTTGGTGCAAAAATAATGACGTAATAATATCGTTTTTTTTGACGTAAGGTCAAAACGACATTATTACGTCATTATTTTTGCACCAACCTAATATATGGTTTATCCATTACTGTTGTCATATTTGGAGGGGAGCTGCCGGGGCATCACTCTCCTGACTTGACAGAGTCCAAAAGCGTCTCCGAGACTTTGTGGGTGACAAATTATTCTCCACCCTGCAACCTCTCTTTTACAGGCGGGATGGGACCAGCCTCTCGCTGCTCTATTGCTACTTCCACGGAACGTGATCGAACGAACTACATTCCTGGTCCCGCCAAGACAAACCTTCACGGCCAGGAGACGCCATGCCACATCAGTCAGTTATGTGCCATGCGTGATACACGCTTTGGCGATCATGTATCTTTCGATACATAACTGACGAGGCAGATTTTTTTCCTGCATTAGGTTGCCATCTCTTTCTGCGGTAGACCAGTTGCCATCCAAGGCTATAGAACCCAGTCTGTCCTGCTATTTACCCATAGCTGGGGGGGGGGGCATAAGAAGAGGATTCATACCTTTCCTAAGGCTTAGTAGCAAACCACTCACATTTCCTCCGTATTCCATTCGGTTCCACTCGAACAGCTTCTTCTCGTGAACGATTGTTCTGTGGAACCGACTCTCAAGAGGATGTTTCCCCGATCACTTCAATCTTAACCTGTTCGTGTCTAGGGTTAACCGTTATCTTGCACTCCTATCCACACAAATTGCCTCCTAACGAAACTTTCTACCTTGAGTGGCTCCCGTGCCTTCTAAAATAAAGAATCGAAATTTAAAGAAATTTACTATGTTTTTTTTTTCAGTCTACAAAAATAGGAAGATTGCGATGCGCTAATTGTCTGAATGAAAGGCTCCCCCAGTCTTCACTTTCTAGTTTTAATAGGGTCTAGAGGCGTCTTGTGGGTGGTGAATTATTTTCCTCCTTACAACACCTTTCCCACAGACGAATGTCGCTAGCTTCTAGTTACTCTATCGCTGGAAAATTTACTGACGAGCTACATTCTTTAGTTCCACCAATTTTAAGCGTCACATGTAAGACCGTCCTGGGTAAGACGATAAACTACGTCCAGCAGCAAGGCCTCTAATAAGGAGGTTTTGAGAAGCATGGAACCACCTCTTAATTGCTGGTGTTCCCAGGTCCACTCTGAACCGAGGTGGTAGTACCTGTTAGGGTCCCAGCTATGGGCAAATAGTTAACCCCCAAACTGGGTTCAAAACACTAGGTTTTAATACCAGAAAGAATTTGTTAAAAATTATTACCAGCAATACATTTTTGGAAAAAAAAAAAAATTACCAGCTATACATTTTTTGAAAAAAAAAAAAAAATTACCAGATTTACCAGAAATAGATTTGTTGTAGAAAAAAATATTACCAGAAATAGATTTGTTGTAGAAAAAAATTTTACCAGAAATAGATTTGTTGTAGAAAAAAATATTGCCAAAAATAGATTTTTGAAAAAAATATTACCAGAAATAGATTTTTGAAGAAAAATTTTTTACCAGAAATAGATTTGTTGTAGAAAAAATATTACCAGAAATAGATTTTTGAAGAAAAATATTTTACCAGAAATAGATTTTTGAAGAAAAATATTTTACCAGAAATTGATTTGTAGAAAAAATATTGCCAGAAATAGATTTTTGAAGAAAAATATTTTACCAGAAATAGATTTGTTGTAGAAAAAATATTACCAAAAATAGATTTTTGAAAAAAATATTACCAGAAATAGATTTTTGAAAAAATATTACTAACAATAAAAATTTTGTCGGCATTAAATAACCCATTGAGATTGATATGCCGTAAAACAAAACAAATCAAACCACATGTAAAACCCACCACGTCATGGGAACTCTTATTCCACTCGTATTCCAATTGGTAAAAAGTAAGTTACACCCGAACAACTTCTTCCCACAGACCGATATTTTATGAAACCGACTCCCGAGAGGATGCTTTCCCGAACAAAACAATTTTACCTCTTCAAGTCTTCGGTTAGCCCATAAATCTTCATATACTGCGCCTCTTACTCTTACCGATCACGCAACAAGCTCCTTCGCTAACCGTCTACCTTGAGTGAATCTTGGGCCTGGCGTTGGCTGAAAATGTATTAGGTCCCCTTTTTTATTTGGCAGCCGTGATTATTCGTATCTATTTGCACGATTACTTTGTCTTTTATTCAGATCATTTCTTCCCCCCCCGCTTATTTTGACAACCCAATATCTTTTAGTTTCATGCGTTCTTCCATCTTAACTCTCTCGCTCACTTCATCTTTTTGTCAATTCCCCCCCCCTTCTTCTTTCACTTAAAAACAAAATCTTAATTTTGGTTTCGACTTTGACCAGCTGTTTGTTTGGCAATTCTCACAGTTCTCAAATTTCAAGAATGACCTTTCCATGTGGGTTGGGAGGTAAAGGCAGAAAAAAGAAGGGAAGTGGCGTGTGGGGGCGTCAACCTGCCCTTCACTTCCTCTTTCTATTTCTCTTTAAACCTTCCCACCCACCTTTCTCTTTTTTAGTTTCCCAGGTGTTCCTCGTCGTGTTTCGTCGCCCTACACCATCACTCTCAAAACTCACCGGATAATTCCGAATCATTTACCTCCGTTTCTTTACCCATGCCAACCTCTCTTTTTTTTTCTTTTTGCTGAATATGGGCTCTCAGTGTGCCCTGTAATCTCTTCCAACACTTTCCACACCCTGCACCTTATCTAGACACAGCGTCCACAGACTAACAACAGCCGGTAGTGCTATCTTAGTACTTTTTTGCCTTCTAACGTCTTTTCGCGGATGTGTAGACCGATGTCATCATTGGCATGTTTCATCTTCCCCTAAACAACTTCCTTCAACTCTTCACTCTCCTCCTCACAATTTTCCCCCCTTTTTATTCTCTTGACTCCGGTTAATTTCTCTTAGACACTCTTCCCCCAACTCTTTTCTGTTAAACCATTTTTCTTTCATTAGACATATTCTCACTTTAAATTATTTGACAAGCGATAGCCATGCTATTAAAACTTCACTACTATGAACGTGTATGCATATAAATCCTTTTGACTCGTCCCACAGCCAGTCATTTTAATGTGTCTTTTAGAGAGTGCAAATTTGGGCATCAACGAGAAATTAATCGCTAAAGTCAAGCTTTAGACTCAAGAATCAATCATGTTCTCGCTGTCTTTGGAAAACGGAGGGAAGTAAAAAAAAAAAACATTTCTGTAAGTTTTATGTGCATCATGTAGGAATTTCGAAATTGTATTGCTTTAAGTAGAAAGAAAATGCCAGAAAATGTGATACAAGAATCGGAAGAAACTAATCAATGTATTAAGAGAGAGGAAAATTTCGTTAAAAACAAAGAAAAGTAATGTAATATATAATCTTGTGTATGCTGCGAAATATCATGCCTTTCAGATACTAAGCAACGTATAAAGAGAGAGGAAAATTTCGTTAAAAACAAAGAAAAGTAATGTAATATATAATTTTGTGTATGCTGCGAAATATCATGCCTTTCAGATACTAAGCAAAGTATTAAGAGAGAGGAAAATTTCGTTAAAAACAAAGATCACTGAACTTTTAATATCTAATAGCTTTTATCTTCCTTCCTTCTTATGTGCTGTGTCCCCCAGGGCGTAGGTGATCACGGCTCTCCATAACTTCCTGTCCCTTGTAGCTCTTAATAAACTTTGTCATTCTGTTATTTCTCCTATGCCTTGTTTAGCTATACATTTACTCAAGCTCATTGAATATGTTATGCGTTGTTTTGTTCTTGACCTATGTCCTGTGAGTCTTAGATTTT